AAATGTGCCGAACAGGCGACGGGGTTAATGTACCATTTCCTTGAGGCACATAATAGTAATTAAATGTGCCGAACAGGCGACGGGTTAAGATATCACTTTTTTGTTCCACTTTTTGTTACCACTCCTTTTTGTACTCGCTCTTAAAAAGTTCTATTGAAACTTTATTTTCTGAAAATGATATCTCATTGTTTATTCTCTCGGAAAATGTAAAAACCTAAAAATCAAACTTTTATAGTGATTTTGGGGTACCCTCATACCTTAATTAATCTTAGATGAAAAACGGTTTTCGCATTTGATAACAGGTGTTGTTGCAGCATTGTTTTGAATAATTGTTTTATTTTACTATTTAATAGTCATGTGATAAGGGCTACTACAAGAAATCAGATGGAAGATTGCTGGACAGATGTGCAAAATGTGCATGTAATAAGCATTCTGAAGAATGTGATGCGTCTGATGGCACCTGCCAGGTATGAATGACAGCGATATCTTGTTCAGTAATCTCTGAAATCTAGAATTTAGGTTCATGTAATTGCTGCTTACTGTCTAGGCTTTCAGTTTGTAATACGTATTTAGGCGGGTTTCTGTCGTTTATAGACTTCTAGTGTGTGGACTAGTAAAAGTGCCTCAATATGGTTTATCGGAAAAAAACCTGCAGAAACGTTTCAGAATGTAAAACTTTTTACTTCCAACATCACGTATCAGTTCCTTACGCCGGGGAATATATTTGTAGCATCGCTTCCGTGGCCGAATCATATCATTATAAAAAGGGGTAATAAAAGGAACGCACGTTGTTCAATCGTCATTCACGACAGCATTGACAGGACAGTCCCTTTACAAGTCGTTTAAAGTGTGAGAAAAGTATGAAGTTTTCCATCGACAACGGTAAGAACACCTAACAACAGTTTTACTTCACTGTCTGTTTTGCAGAACTGTTTACACAATACTTTTGGGGATCACTGCGAAAAATGTAAACCTGGTTTCTATGGCGACCCGACTGTTGGTTCAATCTACGATTGCAGGCCTTGCACATGCCCAATGACAAAATCTCCCAATAGGTAAACGTACAATCTTGTACCCAGAGCCCTTATTTCTTACTGCGCATGCTCGACGCAATAATTGAGCTCTGGAAAACTCCAATATTTCCTGTGCTGTGATTGGTTCTCGAGAACAAAGGAAATACCGGAAGTAAAAATTACAGTACTATACTAGGGAAAATAAACAAGATGGCGTCTCGAATTAAGTACRCCAAAAAAGCCTGTAGGGCCGGATTTTTCAAAGTTTTGCCGGTTTTGTAATGGAAATTTTATTGATGTCTATCCAAAAGATATTTTCGGAGTTAATTTAACTGAAAACCATCTTCAAAACCTAATTTTCCAAGCGCAAATTCACATGCTCGTTGAACATCGCCCGCCATTTTGAATTTACCTAGTCTGTCATAATGCGCATGTGCGAGAAACCCAGAATCTGTGTCTTCCGGTTTGGAGTTTTCCAGAGCCCAATTATTTCGTCGAGCATGCGCAGTAAGAAATAAGGGCTCTGGGTACGAGATTGGTAAACGTACTGTAGTAATATTAGCAGTAATAGTACTGGTAGTAGTAGTAGTGACAGTAATAATAAAAATAAGTTATTATTGTTACCATTATCATGTTACCATTATCACAATCACTGTATTATTGTTGTTGTTGTTGTTATTATTATTATTATTGTTATTGTTATTATTTTTATATTTTGTTTATTAATTTGTTGCAAATATATTTATTTATTGACAATAAGAAATAAATATTTACAAGATAATAATTTGTTAAGAACTAATCAGAATGTAGATTATTTGTAAAAATTTCAAATATTTATTATTATTATCATTATTATTATTATCATTATTATTTTATTTATTTTTTAGTCGGCTACAGCTAGCCTGCCCGACTGAATGTAATTATGCCTAGGCATCCTTAAGTATACAACTGCCATAATAATAATGTAAACTTTATTATGTTTTCCAAATTCCATCGTAAATCTCGCTATATATAGGCAATTTGATATATATATATTTAGGCACTGCCTAAAAGCGGAGCTCCCTATACGAAATTAGGGAGCCAGGGAGCCCAATTTGAATGAATCTGAAAGGTAAAAATAAGATCGGGAAAAAAATCTTCAATTATTTTTATTCGAGATGAAGATAACGTATCCCATAATATAAACCATGCATTGAAATCGAATCAAAATGCACTACATTGTTTTTTATGCGCGATTATACCACAGGTAGCCCAAGCTTGGTTTCTGTGGTGTCCTGTTATAAGGAAATGTATGGAGATTCATCAAAAATTTCAATAAAATCATTGAAACGTGAAATAAGGCCTCGAAATTTTACCCGATCATTGAGAAATAGCACTTCTTTCGCTCTGCGTGGCTATTTTTTGAATTTAGTCCGTTTTAAGATTTTTTTCCCCACCAGTAAGAAATTTCTTAAAAAATTCAAAAAATAACCACGCAGAGCGAAAGAAGTGCTATTTCTCAATGATCGGGTAAAATTTCGTGGCTTTATTTCACGTTTCAATGATTTTATTGAAATTTTTGATGAATCTCCATACATTTCCTTATAACAGGACATCACAGAAACCAAGCTTGGGCTACCTGTGATTATACTACTGTGATTCCACTTAGGAATTTTGAACAAAACTCACCACCAACCACCCCACGGGCTATTTTTGTTCTTTGAAGATTCTTCGACAAAGTTTTCCATGGCCGACATTTTTAAGCTTTGAATTCCTGTTTAATTTTACTCTAAAAAAACGAAAGATTACTACAGACAATCCAACAAAATATCAGGTTTAGTGAAATTTACCTTGGATGTCTTTCATTGAAATCGAAATTTTGGAGATTCCCGATTCTTTTAGGACAAATCAGGACTATACAACAGACTTGAAAACTGGTTAAGGTGAGAAAAAACTAAAGCTTTCTTGCGTCTTTCACATATCGATGTTTGGAAAACCATAAGAATTTTGATGTTTTTATATTAAATGTATTTTTACCGCAATGAAAATTTTAAAAAAACAAACAACAAATGCTTTGGTAGCATCAGAGAGAAAATTGCCTGGAGATCATCAACTAACTAAACTTGAGAAATGAAGGCCCTGAACATTTAAAACCAAATGTGTCATCAGTTAAAAGGAAAAAGTTTTCTTAATTACTTCATTGAAATAATTTCATTCCTTTCATATGAGAATTAACCACTTTTCGAGAAGCTTGAAAACTAAGCTTACTAAATTTTGAGATTCGATTTTACCAGTTTTCATGTCTGTTTTCATGTGTGAGAAAGATACGAAAATCACGAACGACAAAAGTTTTCGAAAAGCAAAGTTTACATTCAGTATTATACTTGACACGAACAACTGAGACAAAATAGAAAATAATGCAAAATACAAAATGACTAATTTCTTTGTCAGTAAATTGGCATCTGTAAATGTTTTTGAACATATTTTAGCTTGGTTATGAAGTGAAAGACAAGGTCTTTATACAATATCATCTCTCAACAACACAAATTTAAGCTCATTTGTATAATCATGGCTAGCTCGAACAACTTAATAAACAGTTGAATGTTTGGTGTAATTTTACATTTTACTCAATATATAAATAAATTATCTGTAGAAAGATATAAAATTATTGAATGAAAGTCTTCAGCTTTGTTTTGCCGATGGGACACGCGATAGGAGGCAAACAAAGCTGAATTTTTCTTGAACGAAAAACATATGATAGTTGGTTAAAAACAACCGAATTGTTAATGATTTGCAAAGCTAAACAAAGGACGAATATTTGTTGTAATATGCACTTCATGTTATATTTCCTCCAGCATTAAAATAAATTAAGCTTATCTACAGAAATATTAAAAGTTTTGAGGGAAAGTCTTTGATTTGTCGATTCGTCGAGAAAAAATGCTTCAAAAAATAATAATATACGATTGTTTGCTAAACAACATACACCTGAATTCTTGGAGAACACTTCTTAATCCATCTTTGAATACATGAAAGTTTTTTTAATTGTCTTTGGTATACAACTTGCCCTAAAGCGATTTTTTCTGTGCATCTAAGAGTCGCCTTAGCTAGTAGTTTTGCTTCAAATTCCTTTGTCTTTCACGCTCATTTTCTCTTTGTTCATCCTCAAATTCCTTTGTCTTTCACGTTCATTTTCTCTCTGTTCATCCGTCAAGTTTTGCCTCATATTCCTTTTTCTTTCACGATCATGTTCTCCTTGTTCATAATCGAAGTCCCGCCTGGATTTGCGTTTTCTCTCTGCTTGCCGCTTTTCTTTGGTGAGATTCCTTCGTCTTTGCCTTTCTTTTTCACGCCTCCAGAGTTTTTCCTCTTCCGAAAAAACTCTTTTACTTCTGGCCTTTCTTTTAGCTTCATTCTCCTCTGAGCTTTCTTTCGACATATCGATTTCGGAAAGGGGTTCCATCGTAAATAGAGTAAATATAAATATAAGCTTGAATAAAAAATTGTGTTGTTATCTTTCGGTATTTCTATACATAATAACAGGTGTAAAAACGTTTTTTTACAAAAGTTTAACCCATTTCACAAGGTTTTTCCTGGTTGGGAGAATGTTATTTATGTAGCGTACGGTGAAGTTGTAGATGTTCTTAGCAAGGTTGGATTGTACCGATGACCATAATAATAATAATGATAATAATAATAATAATAATAATAATAATAATAATAATAATAAAGAGTATTT